AGAAAGAATCGATTCAGAATCGAGCATCTTTAGCACACCTACATCCATAACCCACCTTTCATAATTCTTATGAAATATAAATTGGACATTCTAAAATTATTCCGCAATCCTTTCCACGAACATTTCATGGCGCACTCATTTGTTAGTATTTTTTTTAAACATCTATGTATGTTATCCTTGCCATTATTACCATCACTTTTCGATAGAAACTGTTTCTGTGAAGAAAAAAAGTTAAGAAATATATTTTACATGAAATCTTCAATGGATTATACCAATAAAATAGTATAGGATTTTTTGAGAAAGATAAAAAAAATTGTTAAGATATTTTTACTTTAATAATTATAGTGACATTTTCCACCCACAAAACTGTTACATACTGTTAAAGATGAGAAAAATCTTATAAAGTAAGAAAATGACGTTTTAATGTAACATAAAACTGTAGAACATTTTTATATCATAATCAATGCGCCATTCAAGCAACAATTTTTATTTTCTTATAAGCATATTAACAATGAACGTGTAACGCAAAACGTTTTAAGATGGTTGTGTCATAAAAAGAGTTTATTAAGAAATTGGTTAATCTAGCACTACACACTACACACACACTACACACACACACACACCACACACACACACACACACACACACACACACACACACACACACACACATATATATATATATATATATATATATATATATATATATATATATATATAAGTAATATATATATTATATATATAATATATATATATTATATATAATATATAGTGAAATATTAAGTAAGTACTCTCATACAATTCAAAAAAATTTACTTCTTAAGTCATGAAATATTTGGATTTAAAGTTCACACATTCTATGATACAAAAATGAAGCACTCATCTAACCAATAAGAAAGAATTTTTTGTTTTTGTAATATTGTGTATAAATATTTATCTTAATTTCGTCTAAATAATAGTAATATTTAAACTGTGAAATAAATGTATAGAAACATAATTTTATTTGAAAACTATTAAATTTATGAGTGATTCTTCTGATTTACTAAAAAAAATACAGCACCTAGCGATACAAATATAATGAAGCATAATATGTTTTCATATTAAAATAAAATGCATTTGTAAAGATAGTAAAGAAATACAAAACTTACAAATTGTGTCACTGCTTCATCTGACGTTTTCAGTACTGTGTCAAATTCTTTTATGCCTTCTACTATTTTCATTGGTAAAAACGGTGCGATGAGATCATCATTACTTTCAAGGGGGCTTTTTGCACGTCGTTTCATGGCATCTTCTATTTTACCTAAACGTTTGTTAATATTTCTCAATGTAATATTAGATGCTGCTTGCATACGTAACATTTGCTCGAAGGTTTCTACAATATGAGCGAGAATGTTTTTTTTATATAAAACTGTTCATATACCTTACATTTACAAAATGCTAATATAAAAAATAATAATTATAAAAAATAATAATTTACCTTTTATGTTAGTACTTTGCAAGATTTCCGTTGATTGGGGATATCCTAAATAATTATAATAAAATTAATGCTCAGCATATTATACATAATGTTTATTTAAAAAAATTTATGTACCTTCTACTACAATGGGTACATTATTTATATCACTATATTGCTCCTCACATGTTAATACCAAAGGATCATTCTCCGTTTCTGTAAATATATTAACAAGATATTTTAGATAATGTGTGACCAATAAACTGGTTTTGTGTAACACAGTGTATGTAGGTTGCTTTCCAACAAAAGACACAAGTTGACACAAATATCATTCTATCTTTGTTCCATATTTAGTGAGTAACAAAGATAAGATGATACTTGTATTGATAAGATGACTTGTGTCTCTTGTTGGAAAGCAACCGTAGCTGGAAAGCACCTACTGATAAGAGCTCTGATGATTTAATACAATAGTACAACATTATACAAAAATTGTAGTTATTTTTCATAATTCAGACCAATGAGACATAAATAATACTTTTATAAAGTCATAAACATTATTGTGCACAAGAACTCCAACGAGATGTCAAAACTTATGTTAAAAACAAACTCTTAATAAATTTAATTTTTATTAATTAAAAAATAGTCTCGTAGATGAAGGAAGAGTCTGTGTGTATTAAGAGG